AAAATGGAAATACGACAAGAAAGCACTGCGGTGGTGAGTTGACAGCGAGACGCCCTTCCCAGTTTTTCGGCGTAATAAGAATGTAGTTTGGATTCCGATAAAGCCGACAACTCCGATCCGAGTTTAAAGCCGCCTGCAGTCGGCCAGATCTATGTGGGGCAAGTTGGAAATCATAAGGGAATTTTTATACCTATCGGCGCTTACTGAGTCAGTCTCCGAAATCGGCGTTCTCTATGTTTTCGCCCGTACACCTCTCTTTTTCTTGATGGCTCCCAGATTTCGCAAGATTGCTGAGACTGAAATGATATGATATAAAAAACTGGTATTATTTATAGAACCATTCTGTCATTCTTGGAAGTATTTTTTTCAGACCAACAAAATCACCAGTGACAGGCTTACAAAGTTCAACAGTAATGAAAACAAAGCTAAACATGTAATTTTCTATCATCAAACTATTTATTACATTTTCAACAATGGTACTTTTTAAAAATTTGTGTCAACTGCTGACAAAAGGATTGAAGCATGACTGATAAGAATAAATAGGTTTAAATGGAAAGGGGAAGGGGGTATTATCTCTCACACTAATACTAGTCTGTAATCTGAATGCCATCTGAATCAGATCAGTATCAATAAAAGTGCAGTTTTTTGTGTGTTTTTAACTTCTCTTTGCTCAAACTGAATAAGACATTGTTTTCAATGAACTAATCACTCTATAAGTATAGCCTAAGTATAAGTGAGGCGTTTTTCTGAGAGAGATATCGGGTATCTGAAACAAATCACTCTGATTTCTCATGACACGTAAGAATTAAAATCAATTTTGACTCACTGTTTTGCCACAAGGTTGACACACACCACCTTCTTTATGAGTATGGAATCATAGGGGTTGAGGGCCAATACAGTGGAAAATGATTTTGAATCTCCATCACCAAAGAGTGAGGTGTTCCTCATCTTGTGCTGGAGTGAATAACCCCAAAGGACACCTTCGCTCCCTATACCTAGACGGGCCACTGTGGTTGACCTGACATTCAGGCTAGTGGATTTACAGTCATGAGTCAAACTTATCAGTTTGTCAGCTGGGCCTTCCCAGATTAGCAAAGCTGGGAAAATCTACAAGCAGATTAGTGAATCATCAATTTGTTGGTAAAGCAAACAAAAAAACCCCAACAAACCCAACTAGAAAGGAAAGAATTCTGCAACAAATCATTACTACGTAACGTATCCTAATGGCACCAAAGTACCTCAAGAAAAAGAGCACTCATTAAAAAATGTTAATTCGGTAATCTACATATTTCTTGAACATTGTTTTGCTATTAATTTGAATACCCCCCCCCCCCCCCCCCCCCACACACACACACATACACAAAACAATAAGAAAAAGAAGGAATTAGATGGGATCACCATGAATTGTGGTGTAAAGGAGTAAACCAAAATATAGTTGTTCAATAAGATCACATTACAAGTAAATGCCGAAAGTTACCATTGAACTACTGTAAGATACATAGCACAGCCAAATAAAAATTGCAATTGCATTCATGATCTAACCCAGATGAGCAGCTATTTTACACACTTGTAATTTAATCAGTTTAAAACAGAGCACACAAGTCAATGAAACATAATCTTATCTACTTGTGTCTTGAGTCCGAAACTGAAGATTTTCAGAATTTATTTTTTAAATTCATTTTTCCCCCGCCCAATGATAATACGAAAACAATTGGTGGAAAACTCATGGAAACTCCAAACTGGCTATAGAAATTTGCCACAATCAATTCTAGCCCCAAACTAAGTCATAGTCAAGTCATAGAGAAAAGAGAATTATGTACGACAACTGAAGACTGTAATAGTGAGGAGATGTGGCATTATGTGCTTAAAATCTTTCTTGTCTGTTCTACAAGGTCAGTCGATCGATAAAATGTCAAAGTTCATGTAGCTTTTGCAAGTGGTTCAAAAACTCACAGCTTTCGCACCGAGACTACTTGTTCTGAAAATGTACACACCTACATTCCAAAGCTTGCTCATACTCCTCAGCAGTTCTCCCTAAATTAAAGTAACTCGAACATTCAGCTCATGAAATGAACTACTGAATATTACCAATGCTTTTCGTAAAACAAGCCAGCGCAAGCAGTGTTTCTTAATCCTAATTTTAGTAGGCTATTACTAGACTTGGACTAACTTAGACTTAGGTCAGCAAGCAGCTGATATTATGACTTATGATCGTATTAGACTAGCTATACAAGCTCTAAAAAAAAAAACAACAGTGAATGAAAAAAAAACTTACCTGCTGAGTATTTCAGTTGAAAGTACCACAGCTGAAAAATTTCAGTTTCTCTTCCCCTTTTTCATGTGACTTAGCTTATGAAAACCCGGAGATGCGTTGTGCACGGGTGACCAAACACGCAGATGTTGCATCCTGTAATCGAAAGCTTCTGTCCCGATGGGAAACGTTGGAGCTATAAATAAACTGTAGCATGTGTTCTTGGCTTGGGAACCGAGTTCTTGACTCGATGAAAGTACAGTTTGACCTCCGCGCTGAACTACTTAGCAGAAGATCTACTAGATCTAGATTGTTTTGGCTGTCAGGGTAAAAAATCGATCGATCAACTAAGGAAAAGTTTTGTTTACTTCTACAATTTGCCTGTAATTTGAAAGGGGGGTACCTACTAAAATTATTGAAAGTGTGTTTCAAAAAAGTGTCATTGGTAAAAGTAACACGTCAGATCTAACGTTGAAGTAGGCAATTGGATATAGAGCTAAAACTCGATAATTCTTGCCAAACATCACATTTTTTGCCCTAAATATTTCCTGTGGTGTACCTACACTTATGTTGCATTTGTCTAAAGAAGAAGACAGATACCAACAAATAGCTGGATGACAGATGATAACAACTAAAAACTTTTTTTTACAGTAATGCGAGGCCATTTCAACCTTTTTCCATTCGAGAGGGATTCTTTATGACGTCACAGCTCGGAAGGAGCCACAGCACGCAAACTTTTAATTTGGAGCACTAATCGATCATTTTCTTCATCTTCATAGTTTGAAGAACACGTGGAGCAAATATGAAGCCAACAGGATGAAAAATAAATTACAGTTCATGAAGTAAGGACCTTGCAGGACCGCCGTTATGAGAAAATGAACATCAAAGTTGATATAGTATTTTCCTTACCAATGAATACTTAACATTGTCCTATTTAATTAAGTGAAAATTCTCCCCCTGGGGCAGTGCCACTGACTGTAGTGTCTTTAGGCCCTTCCCAAAGGAGGGACATTTCTCGTTCAAGCACAGTAGAATTCTAAATGGGCCGATTCATGTCACGCTCATAACTGAGCCTGATCTTCAAAAGGGAACTGCTGCTTTTTCTTTCCTAATCCGTACTATTATCATTTCCTCTACTTCCTTTGTATGTTTGTCACTCTCTTGGGACCTTCTATTTCCGGGGTGCCTTGATGGTCGAAGCAGACCTCGTGCTGTTGAAGCTACAGAGGTGAGCAGAGTAAGTCTGATTCCCTGTAAAGACTTCTCTGTTGACACCCACCCCTTGGCGCTCATATGACCTTATGCAGTTGCGAGCGCCGTAAAAACCATTCTACTATTTTAAAAAAATATAAGTGAAAATTGGTATATACATTACCAGACATTCATTAATAACAACTTAAAATCATTGGATCAAGTGCCCCGTAAATAATATTTTGGCCCCAACCTGCGGCTGGGCTGACAGTCCAGATATTCTGTAGAGGACAAATGCCTATGTTCCCTTGAAGGTTAATCTTTTCGCAGGTTTAAGACTGTCCTCGTGGCAGCATAGAGGTCTTTCTCAATAGCTATTTATGTCTTTATTTGTGTGAATGGGGAGGATTTGAGTGAAGGGCAGTGTATGAAGGGCAGTGAGTGAATGCTCACACTATGCATGGGTTGCAAGGTGCTTTTTGTAGCCACAGACAGATAGACAGATTGAGAGAGAGGGACGGAAAGATCAATCTGACAGACTGACAGGTTTGTTAACTACACTGAGGCTTGCAGCGGATAGACGGTGTCACAGGTAGGTCCTGTCCGTCTCACAGCGCACCAGCAGTGGAACTTTAGTTGCAGAGTTGCAGCGGGGAGTTACCCGCTGAGCGCTTTGTCACGTCGAGGTCACCGGGGTCAGCTCCCTGAGGCCGATCTGTCCGGGCAGACTTAATTTTCGGTACTTTTTAGCGTACAGTTTTAGTTGTATCCTTGTATTTGTGGTATTAATCATTTAATGCAACCAAAGAACGCATTTCTGCTCTTGAGACTCAAAAAGGAACGGACATTGTAACTTGTCTCGTTATTTCGCTAAAAGCGCTCAAGTTGGCAATGCTATATTGTAAATTGTTTTGGACAAGTATGAATGAAAAAAATCAATATTAAAAAAAGGCACGGAAAAGACTCTCGAACTTTTGGAATATGAACAGCATAATATTGGTGCAGATACTCAGAAAAGATGGTATTTGTGCATATAACAGAAAGATGTAATTTTGCAACTTTATCCATCGAACACAACAAAGAATCCAACATCGTCTTTATAGACCAGGAGAAGTGTAAGTAACAGTCCGATGTCATTACATCACAACCTTTCCTTATAAAAAAAAATGACGCATTGTTCAGTACAATACAAAATAAGGGACTAAGAAAACAAAATTAAAAATAATAGCCCTAAAAGAAAGAAGACCAATAGAATTAGGGTGAAAAAAAAGCCAAATACTAAATATTATTTGTCCTTTTCCCTTTCCCGTATTAATATTTACCAAATTTTATGCACTTTCTAATTGATGTAAAATGCTCACGTGAAGTTACAGCATTTTTTAAAAAGCAAATCATGTAAGTATTTAAGGAATCTGAGTCTCGTAAGTTTCCACCTCACCTATTCATATTACACAACAAAAAGAACCACTTCTGAAAAGCAAATTACACCTTGCCTAACAGTTGGTCGTATGGAAAACAGAATACGAGTAAGACTGCCTCGATCCTGTGTATAAATTACCTCGACTGCGAACTGATGGATCAGCCTCAGACACCGTGTCACAGATTCGTGCGGCCAAGTCATGATAAGGATCCTTTGTCTTCAGAGCATCTACAAAATGTCTGGAGAAAAATACAAGTAGAACAGTACAAAACGATTATTTCAGTAAGACACCACATAGGACATGTCTGTATAGTCAGCTTTTATGGTACACAGGACCTATTATGTGGTAAACAGAGAACTACTTTTCGCTCTTAATACCATAATCTTTTTTATAAAGTAACTGACCTCTGGAGCTGCTTAAGGATTTCACAAAAGATTTTTGAGAGGGTGATATCCTTTCAGAAAAAGTATAATTTCTAGACTTCTAACATAACTACATGGACACACTGCGACATAGCACCAGTCCACAACTCACTTTCCTCTTACACCAGGGTATTGGGTAAAGGCCACCAAGAGCAGCCCTTCACTGTCTCTGTTCTGGACGATCTTCTTTATCTCCAGCCAGCTGTGCCCCATATGCCTGAGATCTGCCTACAGGTTTCCTTCTCTACAATAATTCACAGTCAACACATGAAAGGTTTTGTCTGAATCCTACCTGGTTTTCTCTGAGATGTGCATCCATAATTTTTTTCATGCGCTCCTGACGAATTCTGTACATTATTTTGCCTGGTATCGATAGAAGTGTAATTCTCCTACAATTCCCCCAATAACCCAGACCACAGTTCTTTGGAAGCTTACACTGCCATTTTACAGGCGCTAAAACAATAGTATACTGGCAATATCTTTCAAGTAACCTCTAATCCAACAGTACATGTTATTTCCAAAATGAATTTGTGCACACACACATACAAACCAGCAGACACAGAGAGTGAATGAGAGAGAGAGAGACAGACAGACAGAGAGAAATTACTCTCAGCTCTAAATACTTGTAATTCACCAACAAAAAGACACTTTTCACTATATTTAGCAGAGGAGAACATTAGAATCCTGTTGTACCACCAGCCCCGCTATACCACCAACTTCATGTTTGTCCTAAAGTTGGCAGAATAATAAAGCTTTGTACAGTGGAGTCCCTCTAAAGTGAACACGCTTTATTTGAACTATTGGTTAAAGTGAACGATATTCTGTGGTCCCGATTGAAAGGGTATTTAAGTAGAAAAATAGTGGATGAAATTAACCGGTTTCAGTCGGAAGTGGGAAATCGGAAAAAGTGAACGCTCACAATTGGTAAAAGCGAAGAACGGACCGATCGTGTCACTGTCGCCATGCAGTGAAAATAAAATTCTTTGCCTCGGGCATCACCAGACAATTCCAGCTCAGTTTTGGCGATGGCAATCAGAAATAAAGAGCTCTTGTCTAGGCTCCCATCTTCAAACTAGACCAACCACTGCGCATAGCGAGCTACTGTTTCTAGGCCTTCATCCAACCAAAATGGTTAAACTGAACCTTGGATAAAGTGAAAACTTTCTTCTGGTCCCAAAGAGTTCACTTTAAGCGGACTCCATTGTATAACATAAGCAGCGTTTATAACAATGTCATAATGATTTTTAAAAAAATTATTAAGCAAGACTGTGAACACAGTGAAATTGAATTTAATCTTAAAAAGAAGAAAACGAGCAAAAAATCTAAACATGTGACACTATATCTTTAGAGAGCAAAGCTCAAAGGATACTCATACAAAATTTTGAACAAACTGGAAGAACACAAGCTGAGAAATAGAGTTGTATGTGCTAAAAATGTAAAATTAAATTGTGAAAAGAGCAGATATCCAGGTATACAAAGGTGGGGTTGCAATAAAAAACACATTGATTTATTTTTTGCACACGTTAATGTTTTTGGTCAAAGAACAGGTTTGAGGGTATTAATTAAAAAATACTACATTCATTCCCTCATCTCTCCATGCCAAAACAAAGGTGATGTGTGTAACTGTGGAGAAAAACAACTCATCTATGAAGCTAATCATTTTGCAATGCCAATGAAAAATTGATTTTTCACTTTAGCCCTTTTTCATTTCGAATTTAAGTAAGGATTTTCTATTCTATGAATTAATTCAAAGAATCGGTTCATAAATTTAAAAAAGTTATGGGATTGTAAAGTGCTGCAAAACATGGATGACCCATACAAAAAGTGGACAATGAAGCAACAGATTCTGTAACAAAATCGATGACATCTCAGTAATTAATCGGAGCATTTGAAAGAAACGTGGCTACTCAATGTGTTTTTGGGTGGAGATATCATTTTTGTAGTTAGATTTACTAACCCTTTTGTAGTTATTTCAGTATAATTAAAATGTTCGCATACATGCATGTATATTACGATTTAGAGAAAGAGGGGAGACGGTATGAGAGCATTTTATTTATAGCATCATATCACAACAAGGGATCTTTAAAAATGTGTTGCCAGTGGGACTAAATAATGGCGAAACTTTCTTTGATGACTTTAGACCATGCCAACCATAAAATTTGTTTCAATTAAATCTATCATGCTGTACAATTTAAAAACTATCTTTTTATCCTGTTGAGATCTGAACACCCCCATTACGATGTTACAGGGGACAGAGAGAAAAACAATCGGTTGTGCATGCCCGATATAGTCAAATTTCAAGTGACCAATGAATGGGCTCGGAATAATAATGCAGTGATTTGTAGGTCACATACATTTGCCAAGGGAGTGCGGAAAAATGTCCGGTCTCCGTGCGAAGCCGCTTTGAACATGGGTCATGGCGCACCGGCAGTGGAATTTTAGTTGCCGCGGGGGGTTCCCCGCTGGGCGCCTTATCACGTCGGGGTCACGGGGTCAGCTCCCTGTCGCCGCTCTGTCTGGGCC